TACATTTCAATTTTTTTTTTCCTCAAAAGGAGTGAGTTGTGTAGAGGGGGTTAAATGCTTTATAGACAAGAGAAAAAAAAAAACTGCGCTAGAACCAACTTATTCATCATCATCCTCTTCTTCATCCTCTTCATCCTCTTCTTCTTCCTCTTCATGCTCATCTTCCTCATCCTCCTCCTCTTCCTTTTTTTGTTTTTTTCTTGCTTGACAACTCCCTTTTTTGCTCCGTCAGGTTTTCCTTTAGCCCGGTAGGCAACAATGTCTTTTTCATACTTCTCCTTCAGCTTAGCAGCCTTCTTCTCGTGTGGCTGCTTGTCATCTGCTGCAGTATTATTCCACATTTCTCCAGGTTTCTTTGCAACATCACAATGGAGAGGCCAGGATGTTCTCCTTTGACTTTTGGGTGATACTCAGAACAGAACAAGAAGAAGGCCGAAGGAGGCCTCTTGGGCGCATTGTGATCCTTGAACTTCTGTTTTGTTTCTCCTTTAGGAGGAATATAAGTTTTCATTTCTCTTTCATAACAACCCTTGTCCACCTCTGCCATATCTTCAAATTTTCCTTTTTCTTTAGCAGACATGGTCTCCCACCTCTCTGAGCACTTCTTAGAAAACTCTGAGAAGTTAATGGAAGCATCTGGGTGCTGCTTCTTGTGCTCCCTGGCAAGTTTGCACAAAGAATGCATGTGATCACATTTTGTCTCTTGGCTTCTTAGGATCTCCTTTGCCCATGTTTACTTGTTTTCCTCAGCGAGGTACAGTGTGACCCAGTGCCTGTCTGGCTCTCAGTTGCCCTGGTGCTCTCTCAGTGGAGCTCAGTGTACTGCAATGGCTGTCTCAATGTTCTTTTTTTTTTGTTTGTTTGTTTCTTCTGAACATGTATAGAATTTCTTTCTTTCTTTCTTTCTTTTTTTATTTATTTTCCCCATAATTTTATTGATAAACAAATAGCAATGAGACAGTTGCAAATCAAATCGGTAGGACAGTTTCAATAATTCACACACTGCATACATTCTTCCTAGTGGTTAATTGCTGTACAAGATGTAGACATGATATCCTATTTACAAACACCATTAGAACAAATCACTCTATTCATTAAGAGAATGTAACTATATATCTATCCAAACCACTTTGAATACACAGATACAATCGTCTGTATCCCCTTTTTTTGTTAAGTTCTGTTATTTGAATATTATAGGTGTGTAAACTCAGCAAAATATTCTAAAAGAGTCCAGTAGCCCATAATAGTATTGGGTCTTCTGCTTGACTGGCAATGTCAGAAATTGTTGACCTGAGTCCCCTACAGCTCAACATAACAGCATGGCTTTACTTCTTATATTTCGTTTTTATACTTTTCTGCTGGATGGCCAAGACCAAGGTAAAGCAGGACCTATGCAACAAGAGCTGTAGCTTTTGGGTCTGATAAGGTCAGAGAAATCCCCTCAGGATTTATTCTGAGATCCGGCACCTCAGACTGTAGAATCTTTGTCAGTGTCAGCCATGTGGATGAGTCACGGCCATTGCTTGGCCAATGTACTCTCTGTGAAAGCCTGAGAGAATGTTTTCTCTCCATGTGACTCTCCTTAGGCACACTCTACCTCATCGATCACTTTCCTCTTTGGCCCCATAATCTTCTTGATCAGAAAATTTGGGACACTGCCAAGTTACATGATGTTACAGTACAAGTTCTCATATGTCCTGAGTCTTAATTGACCTTGGAAGGCTAGGGCCAAAATGTTGGCTTTCCTTGCGGCCCTCCTTTTTTTCTAATTTTGGTCTGCAAACTTATGTTGTTAACCATCCAGAAGATAAGCTTATTGTTATTACCATACAACTTAGGCTGTTAAGCTTAACCTCACTATCTGTCTGCATATCAAACATCTTAGGCATAACATGGAACAGGTACTTTTCATCAAGTATTGATATGTTGAACTTTAAGTCCTGAACCTAGGCTAGGACTGGGTCTCCTGCATCATAATTTTTAAAAACTTAAACATCACACATATATTTTAGTCCCATTTCACACGTGACTTTGAAGGCTGTCATAAAGATGGCAAGCTCCCAGCCACAGTTGCAAGGGACACTTGTCCTTCACGCCAGCTGGCCCACTGTGAGGAGCCAGGACCTGTGTGGCCCTGGGGATGCCTTTCCTCTGTGCCCCAGGCGTTCGCACCTTCCCTGTGGCTGTGCTCCCCCGGGGAGGCCAGGTCCCCACCCTCAGCATCCCAAGTCCCACTGCAGAGTGGAGATAACGCAGCTCTGAGCTCTGTCACACTCAGGGTGCCCAGATTGGTCCTCCGGGAAACAGACAAGGCAGCCCAGAGGCTCAGGGACCCCTTCTCAGGCGAAGATAGCTGCAGAAGGCAGAGGACCCGGCCCAAGGTGGGTGTCAGAAGCCCTGAGTCTCAAGCAAAACTTGGGAAGTACAGCCTGACACCGTGGTGCACATCTGTACTCATGGACACTTGGGAGGCTGAGGCAGAAGTATCCCTTAAACCAAGACTTCAAGGCCAGCCTGAGCAATACAGCAAGACTTCATTTCAAAACAAAAAAGTTGCAAACTGCAACCCCATTTCTTAGATCGCTGCGCCACCGTGTGGACAAAATTCTCCCTACAGGTTAAGTGGCTGGGGATGCTTTGAAGGTTCACTCTACAAACACAGCAATCTGCATAAGCGAGCAGAAGGGATGTGTAGGCCAGGGGTGACATCCCACCTGGTCCCTTGGCATTTGTGTCCCTCACACAGTGTCTAGGACAGGAGCCTCCCATGTCCCTCCTGAACAACGCTGAGTTGTCCTAGGTCACAGAGGCCCCCTCTGAGTCTGGTCTGACTGCACCACTCAGAGGAGGGGATTGGAGAGGGATAGGGATGGGGATGGGGAGGAGCAGAGAGGAGGAGGGGGAAGAGGGAAGTGAGGGAGAAGGGAGAGAGGTGAGGACATTCAATGGAGGGATGGGGGAAAGGGAAGGGGGAGAGAGGGATGAGAGGAGGGGAGGGGAAAGGGAAGTGGAGGGGAACGGGGCATGGGGGTGGGGGATGGGAAGCACAAGGTGAATTCCCATCCCACACAGAAACATGCAGGGACATGCACACACACAGGCATGCACACACGCCCAAGCACACGTGCACACACAGACTCAAGTCTCTACTAGCTAAACTACACTCAGGGCTAGACTTGGCCAAGGAGGTCACAAAGGGCGCCCTCAGCTCTACCTGCAGAACCTAACAGAAAGGAAGTGACTGTGGATGCACAGCTGTGCTGGCACCTGGAGACCACATCCCTGGGGGTGGGAGCACCTTGCCCCCAAGTGCCTCCTGTCAGAGACACCTCCCAGCCCGTGCATCCGTCTTGGCCCACACTCCCAGGGCTGAGCACTCCCAGCCCGTGCATCCGTCTTGGCCCACACTCCCAGTCTTCTGAGTGACCTCTGTTCCGCTGCCTCCACCACCATCGAGCACTGCATCTGTCCCCACCCAGGCTATGATTTGCTGTGTACCTGGCGAGCTCAAAGCAAGCCTGCCATCACCCCACTGCACTGTACCCTGGGGGTGGACAGGACTCAGTTTTGTGCTGGATGCAGGGGCCTAGGCGAATGGGTACTGAGGTCAGGACCAGGAGTACCCGGGGAGGTGGAGCCTCTTCCATGCACAAAGAACACCCAGCAGGATTTGGGGACTCAGGCTTCCCACAGGACCCCATGCAACTCACAAGACACCATTTCTTGTGCTCAGGACCCCGACCTTAACACCACAGCCCTGGAAGAGGGAGAAGTACAGCCCAGCTCTGGCTCAGGAGAGTGGGGCAGCCGGGAGTGGAAGTGAGGTGGGCTAGACCCTGGGCTCTCTTTACCCTTTGGTGTGGGGCCACTGGCCTCACCCAGCCTTGCACATTCTGTGTCAGATTCCACAAACAACCCAGTCTCATGTGCAGGCACATGGCTACCCACAGGGGATTAGGGGCCCAATCAGTGGGTATCATGATTGTGCTGGACGGCACCAGAGTGCCAGCACTGTCTCTGCCTGGAATTCTGCTGCCCTTCTAGGTCCAGGGAAACCTGAAGCACCAGGGCTCGGAGCCCAAGGAGCCCTGAAGGGCTGCGCTGCAGCCTTGGGAGCGGGCAGAGGGCTGGGATCTGGGCCTGCCCATACCTTTTCCTGGCACGAGTCCTCCCCGCAGGAACGTGCACCATGCAGCCTGGCCTGGCCCCCAAAGCCAGGTCTCCTGCCACCATGCCAGATGATCTAGCAGACCAGGGGCACAGAGACCCCAGGTTGCAGTGAGGGGCTGCCTGCTCAGGGTCAGGGTGTCTGTACTGAGGTGGGCATAGGCCTGACCACTGGCTCTGTCCTAGCTCTACAACATTCCCACTGAGGAAGCTCTGAAGTCCTTTCCACAGTCTTCTAGGAGAAACTGAGGCAGAGAGAGGCTGCTTCTTCTCTAAGGCCAACAGGTGTTAAGAATCCCAGCTCTGATTCGAACCCCAGCCTCACATCAGGCTTCTGGGGCCAGGTCCCCACCCTGAGTCACATGGGAGTGGAGCCCTGATAGGGCTCTGGGCCTCAGACTGTCCTCTTCTTCCCCCTGCTGGTGCTGAGCCCAAGACGGGAAGTGATAAATTGTGGGTGACTCCTACTCAGTTCATCTGCTGCCCCCAGGGCAATGCCACTCCCAGCGTGGGAGTCTGCCAGGGCCTTGAGGACCAGTGAAGGGAAAAAGGGTAAATTCAAGAAAGTCAAGCCATTTCCTCTGAAAATGCTGCTCATCCCAACTGTGCAGCCCTTTCCCACGTGTGGCTCTGCGTCAGAAATCCCCCCCGTGGCCGCAGGTCTGTGGCTTCCTCCTCCCCCACTAGCAAGCAATTGCACCTGGAAACTTTATATAAAGGAAGCGGTTGCCCCTGTGGCCAACAGCTGAGGAGAGGAGCTTCTGGTCAAAGTGATTCAGCAAGAAGCCACCCTCCTGCTCCAGCAGACTGCCTGCCCACCCTTAAGTGCACAGGGCTCCACCCGCCAGCGCCCATGCAGCCCAGCACTGCCCTTACCATGCGGGCGGCCACACTGCTCACCCTCTGCTGCCTCACTGCGGGCTCCTGCAGGGACCCCCCAGGTAAGAAGACACCCCTGCTACCTGTCTCAAGGGGGGGCCATGTAGCCCAGACCCTGCCCTCTCTGGTCCACCCAGGCCCTTCCTGGCTGCAGCCCCTAGGGAACCAAGGCCGGGAAGGGATTGGAGGGTGGCAGGGTGGGGAGCAGCAGACAGTGGGAACAGGGGTCATAGGGAGGGGGAGTCATGGAGCTCTGTCCCCAGCAGGAAAGCATTCTGTGTGTCCGGTGTCCCTGGATTTGGGGTCCTGCACAGCCTGAGACCACTCTGAGAGGGGAGAGACAGGAAAAGTGAAGACTGCATGCATGGGGAGGTCTTCTGCTGGCTTTCTGCCCCAAGGGCAGCTGCCCCTCTGCTCCCGGTAGTCTGCTCCTAAGGGTCAGCAGATGGGACAGGGAGGAGGAAGAGGACACTGCAGGCTGAAAACTTAGGCAGGGCCAAGCCAGGTGGCTTGACCGGCACACAGTCACAGGTCCCCAGCAGAAGTTGGCCACAGTGGCCTAGGCCTGCTGGGGCAGGGGATGGACCCCACAGCAGCTGCCTCTGGAGGGGTGCCGAGGGACCAAGACCTCTGACCTAGGGATGGGGCGGAATAGGCATCACCCTACTATGAACAGTGCTTCCCCTTTACTGGTGTGGCTGGAGAGCCCCCCAGGCTACCATGAGGTCAGAGCCAGGGAGCCAGGGGTGGTAGCCAAGGGGCAGCAGGAACACACCATAGCCAGTACACATGCACCCTCACATCCAGGGCCTATGGCAGGCGGACATCCTGGGGCCACATCCTGTGCACACCCCACTCCTTGGGGGTGTTCAGTGTCCCCTTCCCAAGCTGGGAGTCCCCAGGTCCTGGAGGGCTTCACAGCGGGCAGAGGACAGGCTACCCTCCCCGCCCCCCCTGCCCCCCGCCATGGTCCATGTTTGGTTCTGAAGCTAGCATGGGGCAGCTGTGGGTGTGCACATGGAGTGCACATGGTGGGGGAGGGGTGCCAGCCAGGCGCAGGGCTGACGGGAACACAGGTGAGGGGCTCTGGTGAGAGCCCCAAGTGAAGACAGGTGAGGGGGTAGACGGGCGAGTGTGTACAGGGGAGGGGCAGTGCGCAGGAAGGCATGCACAGGTGGGGATACAGAGCGGAGGGGAACACAGGTGAGGTGCACACAGGTGAGGCTGGGGCAGCAGGGGCAGAGAACCGGGCAGCCCCGCAGGGCAGGCATGAGCCATGGACCCTGCTCACCTGGTTCTGTTTCTCTCAGATTTCTGCCCCCAGGACCCTAACTTGGATATCCTGCCAGGATCCCCCAAACCAATAAACACTAATGACCCCAGAGTCCTCAAAGCGGCCAGATACAGTGTGGAGCGGTTCAACAACTACACCAATGACATTTTCCTGTACAAGGAGGCCCACGTCAGCAGAGCCCTGGTGCAGGTGAGGCTGGAATGGGGCTGGATGCTCACTACAGAAGTCTCCTGCCGCTGGGCCCCTGCAGCTGGGCCCCAGGAGCAGCACATCCTCCATACCTCAGCCTCGGGCACTTGGCACCATCTGCCCCAGTCGTCCCATCTGCCCCATTGTTGTGTCCTAACACAAGTGTTGTCCCACTCTGGCTCAAATCTGTTCTTCCCCGAGCTGCAGAAGCTCCATGCTCCCCAGTGACCTCTCAGTACCCCTCCAGCCAAGTGCATCCCTGTCAGCAGAGCCAGGTGACAGCCACAAGATAGGGAGAGGACACCTCAGGAGACTTACGCAGGGTCCAGGGACCCTGTGGGACTCCACATGTGCCGTGCTTGGGAGAGCAGGAGCCTGAAGGCTAGCAGTGCCCACAGCACATGGTCCTGGGCCACTAGGCCCAGCCAACTCACCCCTTTCCCACTGTACTAGGCTGTGTGAACAGGCGCACACTTTCTCACATTAGGAAGCCTGCTGCCGAGGACAGTCTGGGTGTGGACAGCAGCCCACCCTGGGCCATGGTCTTGCCTGGGCGAGGTGCCCTGAGGTCCTCTGTGGGAGGACAGGGCAGAGTCCCTTGTACTTTGGTGAGGCTGGGAACTTTATTTGACCTGGTACTGGAAGGCCTGTTGCTAAACCCTGAGGAATTTTTCCTCTCCTGCTCCACAGGACAGATGAGCAGGAACAGAAACAGCCATGAAACTCCAAACCCAGGGCTCCCAGTGGGGCTGTAGGGCAGAGCTGGGGACACAGCAGGCACCATCCTCTTTAGCTCCTCAGGCTCCTGGGCTCTGGCCTGGGTCAGCAGCTGGAGTGAGGCCAGAGTGGCCTGGGCTGGTGCCCTCCTAAGTGAAGGCTCCAGGCAGCAGACATCCTGGAAGGGACCCAAGCCTGGCAGGTGGGCAGCTCAGGCCTGAGCACTCCAGGTTCAAGGTCTACCCAGGATGCACTAGGTCACCAGACTGCAGAATCTGCTCCCCAGGTGGTGAAAGGCCTGAAGTTCATGCTAGAGGTGCAGATCGGCAGGACCACGTGCAGGAAGACCCCACACCCAACTCTGGACCACTGTGACTTCCAAACCAGCCCTCCCCTGAAGCAGGTAAGCATGCGGGGCTACCTTCCTGCCCACCTGGCACCCAGCACCCAGACAGGGACAAGGAAGGCAGCATCCATCCCCGGCCTTGCAGGGCACATGCATGCCCTTCCCTCCCCATGAGTCAGAGGCCCAGGGCCCTCCAGCTCTCTGGGGAGGGCTGCCCCCAAAACCTTCGGATAACTCAGAAACAACAGTGTGAGACAGTCACAGCATGACAGCTATCAAATGCGGTGGGTACAACAGGTGCATGTGACAGGTGAATGTGACCAATCATTTCCAAAGAGGGAAGACAAAGGTGATAAAAATCAACAACCCATAAATACAAATACAGGTGAAATTTATTCTTGAATCATTCTTTCACATTTTCTGCAGGTTTGAAATTTTCAAACTAAAAACAGCAGAAAAGGTTCCCTCAGGCAGGCCCACACAGGCATGTACACAAACAAGCACACATAAGCACACACATGTGAGCACACACAAGCATGCACACACTTTAATGGCCCAGCAGCTGGGCAGCACCAGGGCTGGGCTGGGTGGGTGGGGCCCGGGCAGTAGGGGTGGAACATGGCTGGGGAGCAGGACCTGGGCAGCCAGGGTGTGAGTCTGAGCTCCTCCTTTGTTTCAGACTCTGTGGTGCTGCTCCGTGGTCTGGGTCATCCCCTGGCTCCAGTGGGTCCAGGTGCCAGTGCTCACTTGTCACTGACTTCGCCTCTGGAAGCAGCACATGCTGCGGATGTCTGCACTCCAGCCCCACAGTCATGGCCCCTGCTGGCCAGCACACTCACAGTGGATCCTAACAGATGCCTGGGGTGACACAATGTCAGCATAGCAGTCCAGACCCCGTCCGCTCTGTCCCAGTGTCCTCTGAGATCAGTTTCACAGCCACAGTAGCCCTAGACCTGGTCCTGAGGTGAGGGGTATTGAGGACTCCCATTCTACCAAGAGCCCAAGTCTACCTCCTAGGCTTACCACCTGGCGGAAGACCAGGCACGCTACAGATCTGGAGCCTTCCTGGGCAAACTGAGGAGTGAATACAGAGCTGATGACTTAAAACAATGCTGTGTCACTTTCTCCAGTCTGGGGACTGAACCTCCACACCTAGCCTGTTTTATTTTTGGAGACAGGGCCTCAATGTTGCCCAGGCTAGCCTCAGTCTCTGAAGTAGCTGGGATGACAGCCTCCTACCACCAGGTGTCCACCTGAGTCCAAGAGGGTCACGAAGGCCAGACAAGGTCGCCAGGCCCCCTCCTCAAAAGTCAGGCCTGGCCTCTCTTCCCAGGTCAGCAATAGCACAGTCCATACAAAGGCCACCTGACCCACCACCCACCCTGCCAGGATCCCTCAGCCAGGCTCTGTAGCCCTCACCTGAGGGTGGGGACTCAAATCCAACCGCAGCCCTGCAGGCCTGCACCTGGCTCTCAGCACACCATCCGGGGACAGGCACTCACCTCTTCTCACTGAGGGAACTGCCATCACAGAGCCCCTTGACCATGGCCCCCACACGCAAACCCAGGCCTCTGTCCCAGCTCTGTGGGCAGACACCAGGTGAGGCTCACTGACACCACACCACCCCCTTGTTATTGAAACCCATGACAGAAAAAAAAGTCCCTCCTCACTAGCCATGGGGACACAGGGAAGACAGGGGCTGACACTTCTGGAAGCTACACGGCTCTGCCTCAGTAGACCCACCCTAGAGACTCCCACTCCCACACCAGCAAGCAGGACCATGTGAGCCCAGACGCCCAACCCCGCCATACCACATACCATCCCATCCCCTCCCTCACCAAAGAGTGACCCCTGTGGCAGATCCAAACCCAGGTGACAGCGACACCCTAGAGATAGGATGTCTGACCAGCAACAGCCTCGAGTTCCATGCTGCCCATCCAGCTTTGCCTATTTTAATATATCGGCTTTACACTGGCAGAGGGAATCACTGCAACACCACAGGGACACTGTGTTTCAGTGAGTGTCGCTGAGAAAACAGAAGGTTAAAGCCCCAGCTCCTAAGGCACACCAGGGCTGTGACCAAAAAAACAGCACTTCTGTCGAGCATCTCAAACTGACACAAACCCACCATGCACCAGAGCACTGCTGTGGGTCCAGCACTCCCAGGCAGCTCCAGGCTCACCCAGCTGAGCCACCCTGCGGGGTGAGGTGGGCTCTGATGAATCCCCCTAAACATTACTCCTACCACACCAGTGGGACACCAGTGCCACTCAAGTGACAGCCCCACCCACCTCATCCGGAGACCTGAGCATCCCAGAGCATTCTGCTGTGCCAGTTAGGGCCACATACTGCAGCCACCACCTGGGCAGGTGCCGAAGACCACCTGTTCCAGTCCAGTCACTTGGCGTGCTCTTGCCCTCACACCGGGAGCACCCAGCTCCGTGGGCGCCAGCTGCAACTCAGGGCCAGCATGAACCCTGGGCACTAAGTTTCCACCTCCACAAGCCCACAGCTTCCTGCACATTAAGAGTCGGTGAGCACAGCCAAGGGTGGGGAACAGCCAGGGGTGGTGCCAGGGGATCAGGTCAACTACTCAGAGATGGAGGTGGGGGAAATCACTTCAGCCCATGACTTGGCAACCACCACAGGCAACACAGCAAGAGCCCATCTCAAAGAAGTGCATGAAACTCTTTCACTCTATACCACTCTACAAGAGTATGCTGCTAATAAAATCCCAAAGGGATCTTAGGAAAGTTAGTAACTGAATCCCGACTTTTTGTAACGGACAGCAGAAGCCTGTGAGGAATCAACCGAGTAATTTCCAAGTCGCAGTACCGTTCACCTTAGCAGCAGGCTCTCTCACGAGCGAGAAGCCTGTTGCAGCTCATCTTGCCACGCTATAGATAACACAGGAAGTGACACTCGAGACAGAGAACCAGTATCTCGGTCAGAATTGAGACGCCTCTGCTGAAAACTGTGAGAACAGCTTGTCAGCTTCTCACCAGTGAGAACTGAACACAGGAGAACGGCACCAGCCAGATGCAGCGCGGCCACCCGGCAGCCGCCGGCCCTGAGGCAGGGTGCGGGCGGGCTAGAGGTCCTCATGCCTCCCCGCTGCAGGCCGTGAGCAACACCAACGGCTGTCCCGGCAGGAAATGTTGCTTCATCTGGGCTGTGGGCTCTTGCTTCTACTCACGGTCATTTATTCCACATAATGCCATCCAAGCAGCGACACACAAATCATGCAAGATCACCAACCGCCAGCCCCTGAAGGAGGTGCGGCCAGCACCCGGCGCAGGCAAAGATGAGGCCAACGGCTCAGTTACCACAACTGCCCACGCCTCTGAACTTTGCTAGCATTACTCAAACTGTTGCCAAGTCAAGTTATTCTAAGCACTTGGAGACAGAATCCTGCACAAACTCCCAAGTCCCCGGACAGAAAGCGTGTGGTGTGCGGGACCCAGCCCGAGTTGTTGGGAAGCCAGCGGTCAGGACCACGGTGCTCTGCAGTCTTGCTGTGTGGCCCTAACCCCTCGGCCAGGACAGCCCTCACAGCAACACGGAGGAACAAATCTTCAGTCAATGAAATGATTAGAGTAGAAGAAACTCCCACGCCATGCCATTTGAAGCAAAGTGAGTTTAAAACTATTTTTTATTATTATCAAAAGTAAGACCAGTGTGTCGACCCGTCAAGACGTACAGCAGTTGGGATGAGACGCTAGTGGGAGATGGGACTTCACACATGCACTGCCCACAGGGTCTGAGGGGCAGAACAACTGCAGAGACAGCACATTCCCAGTCGACTCCGTGGTGCAGGCTCCCACAGGGTCAGTACTCACAGAAGAACCCACACGGGCCTCCCACACTGATCTGAAGGCCTTCCTTCTCTCCACCTGCTCAGGTCTGGAACCCTCTGCTGTGCAGAGATGCCAGGTGGCAGCAGGTGAAGCTGGGGACCCCACACATGGTGTGGGAACCCAGGCTGTATCCCACACTCACACTGTGCTCCCTGGCCCTTCTGTGCCACCCTGCAAGCACATGTCCCCCTGAGAGGTACACCAAGGCCTCAGGACAGACCAGGAGCACAGTGAGCTCTGGCAGCTCTTCAGTGGCTCTGGCCACCAACCCTGAGTTCCACAGGCAAAGCAAGTGGCCCACATCCTAGAGAAAGACAGTGCCTAGAAACATTATTTGTTCTTTTAAGAGAAAATGGCTTTCTATGAATTAATCTTCCCTCTAAAGGTGAAGTCACTCCCAGGAGACAGGTCCCCTCGGGCTGCAGCTGCCTTTCCATCCATGCCTCCGGGGACGCACAGGTGCTGGCACAGCTGTGCCCACAGCTGCACCAGCTCCTCCGCACAAGCCAGGTCTAGATTGACTGCAAGCTGAGCCTGCAGAGAAAGGGCGACCGGAAGGAGCCGAGGTAGAGGTGGCCGTCGTGCTCGTGCACCTCACTGATGTAGGTGGCCACCAGCCCGTCGGGGTCGTGCAGGCTTCTGCGGAAGGCGCCGCTGTCACTGAGCTCCAGTACCAGGCTGTACCGTGGCACGAACTTCAACACCGTCTCCTGACTGAGCAGCTGCGGAGAAGCACAGAGGCCCTCTGACCTGAGGAGGCCACACACAGGCAACCCAACCACCCTCACCCCAGGGGCAGAGCCCAGAACTCCTGTACCTGCGCCCTGCAGACCAGGCCAGGCCAGGCCACAGAGGCAGCAGGACAGCTGTGCACTGTGCACTGACATGCTAAACCGAGTCCCCTCCAGGGAGCCAAGGCTGCTGGAGACCTCGACCCAGCAGAACACGGCTTCAGGGAATCAACAAGTTCCCTAGTAAGAATCAAAGAATGTCAGGCATGCAGGACGCAAAGGAAGAAGACCAGGAGAGCTCCTGTTTAAGACAGCTGAAAGTCCAGTGACTACATGGCAGCCTTGGACAGGGCCAGTGCTACCACCCTGCCGCAGGATCCCTCCCCACATGGACATATGCCACGGGGCTGACAAGGAGGCTGAGGTAGGACCCGTGCAGGGAAGGGACGATGGCTGCAGAGAGAAGGACCCCACAGGAGGCTGGGACGCAGGGATGGACACAGGAATAGAGTGAATAGCAGGCATCCAGCCAAACTCTGGCAGGCACCCCACCAGTCATGCCACCCTGACCAAGAAACATAGGCAGCTCTAGAAGGCTCGCCAGCAGAGGACAGGCCACAGGACAACCTGCAGGCCTCCAGGGTCTCCACTGGCCTCCCTGCTCCTTCCTCTTACCCCAGGGAGCCCATGTTCTTGCTCTAACAAAGTCTCCAAAACCTCCACCTCCACAGCCAGCACTGAGTCTCTGGCCCTGGGACCCCGGGTATACCCTGCCCAGCTGCCTGCTGCAGACTCCGGTCAGGACCCAGCCTGCACTGGCTGCTGAAGCAGGAGCACCACTCTCAGCCTGGGCCCGGCCCTCCCACCCAAGCTCCACAGCAAGGGGCCTCAGGACTGGCTGCTTGTGTGTGCACCTGATCCTCAGTTCCAACCCCACCCTGGCCCCACAGCCAGCAGGGCAGCTCCAGGATGCCCATGCTTCCAAGAGCAGCTGCTGCAGGCTTCCTAACACTGTGCTCTTAGTCATGTAGCCACAGCTACTTGAGGTTAAGCCGAGCGGGTATGCAGGGGACCAAGACCACATTGATCAGGGGAGGCCTCAGAGCCCAAGGACAAGGGTGTCCCTGCGACGGAGTCACTGGCTCAGGCCTCGGGGCCCATGGGTTAGGGATGCTGAAGGGGCTGTGGGTGCCACTGGTAGGTGGATGGTTTTTATAGGAGTGGGAGTGTCAGGAGGGCCAAGTGCAGACCCTACAGAGACGGCAGGAGGAAGAGGCAGAAGGTACTGGCCAAGGCGAGACACTGAGAAACCCTGGTGGCCACTCCCTCTGACAAGATGTGGCAGGGAGCAAGGCAGGAGCAAGGGAACCTGAGTCAGCCCAGGAGAAATGACTTGAGCCTGACCATCGGGTGGGGCCCCAGAACTCAACAGGCAGAAGTGACAGAAGGTTCTCAGAACAGAAACCAAAACTGGTGAGATAGCTCAGCGGTCTAAAGCACCTGCTTAGGCAAGCTTAGGCAGATGCAGGAGACCATAGTTCAATCCCTAGCACCACATGCGGTGCCAGCCCCGCCCTCAGGGCAGGCTGAGCCGGCCAAAAAAAAAAAAAAAAAAAAAAAAAAAAAAAAAAAAAAAAAAAAAAAAGAAAGCAATAGAAACCAGAAGGTGCCAGGGAGATAGCTCAGTGGCATAAGCACCTGCCTAGCAAGCCAAGGTCCTGAGTTTGATTCCCAGTACCAAAAAAAAAAAAAAAACCACTAGAAGTAGAGTGGGGAGTGGGGATAAAAACTTAAATTTACATTTCAGGATGAAACATAAAGTATGTTTTAAACAGACATCACAAGTACAAAGATTATGAGAACTAGAACTTTGACGGGTATAAAGGTCACAGAGATTATAACTAGATTAAATTTTCATTGTATTTGGGGACTATAGTTCTTGTTACCTTGAAAATCATCTTTTTGATCCAGGGCTTCTCCGCTAGGAAGTCCAGCATAGAGAACCCGGGGTTCTGACGGATGGTGGACATGGCGACCCAGTAGCCCCCGGAGCTGCTGGGTCGGATATTGTCGGGGAAACCAGGCAAGTTCTCCACAAACAGGTCAGCCCCGCCCTTCATCAGGCCTGACACATAGACCCTGGAAAGTTCCACGCAGACAGTGAGCATGGCCCCGGGCAAAGGAAGAAGTCTCAGCCAAGTACCCGAAAGGTCCCAGTCCAGGCACAGGTGTGGAACTATTGCGGGGGTGTCCCTGAGAGCACCCAGGGAGAGGCAGGTGGGGACTGAGGCCCAGGATGCAGGGATGGGGACCTGGCTATGCTAGCATTCAGTTGAGACCCTGGCAGACTACAACTCCCAAGGGGCTGGAGTACAAGCAGCAGCCCACCCTGGAGCATGGCACATCCACCCACAGGACACAAGGCGAGGGTAGTGGTTGCCCCCAGACTCCCGCCAGCTGGTCTCCACCCACAGCAACACCACACACACCTGCGTATCCTTGCCATGGTCGTTTCTGACACCAGGACGAAGTCCTCCTCTGGAGACAGCTGCACCCCGTTGGGAAACTGCAGCTGGTCTAGGAGCACCCGCACCTCCTGGGTCTCAGTGTCATACTCCAGCAGCCTGGGGAATAGGTGCGGTCACACAGGAGGGGGTACATGCTTGCAGCCCGGACCTGCTGCCCTCCAGGAGGTGACTCCTCACCCAGGGGCCAGGATGGGTACTGTGCTGCTCTGGAGCGGGATCAGCCCTGGCCTCCAGTGGGCCGGCTGTCTGTCCATATCACCCACGGCATGCTAGCCTGTGCCATTTTATTTCCTCAAAGCAGAAGGGAGAGCACCTGCTCCTTTATCCACTCCAAACACCATCAGCGCCCTTCCCAGGGGCTGAAGGACTACACTGTGGAACATAGCACACTCCAGAGGCTGTCAGTCTGTGGGGTCACCTGCCAGGCACTGCCGGGGTGGGGGGACAAGTGTGCACCTACCGGCCATCATCAGTGCCTTCCATAACCAGCAGCAGGAAATCTCGCCTCTGCCACTTGCTGCTGGAATCAGTGAAGTAAATCTTCCGCCCGTCCCGAGTGATGGCAAGGTCATTCACAAAAGACATTTTCCTCCCCTCAATGGGTGTCTCAGAGGACAACAGCAACTTCACTTCCCCTGGAGTGAGAAAGAGAAACAGAGAGAAAATGACTGGCTTCCATTCTAAGAACTTGTTTCTCAGTGGTTCAAACATTAATCAACCCAACTGACGTAGAAGAAGAAAACTAAAATGAACTTTTCTGAGTCTCATGTCAGAAGACAGATTCCTTCCTACAGTCAGAATGGTTGATGTGGGCTGGAGATATAGCTCAGGGGTACAGCACCTGGGTGGCAAGCACAAGGTCCTGAGTTCAATTCCTGGAACCAAAAAAAAAAAAAAAAAAAGGACAGTGTATCTATCAGCTGACAGGTGATGAGCGTGCCCAGGCTAACTTCCTCAACGTAAAACGTAAAACCCCTTCCTGGGAACAATCTGCAGTCTCACAGATTGAGGCTCACAGACAGATGGGTGCCCAAGTATGGGGGCCCACCAATGGACCAACAGGTGCCCGAGGACAGGTGCCCGGCAGCCCTCTACAGAGCCACATCCTTGGCATGAACCTGCACTGAGAAAGCTATAACCCTGATCACGGTGACAGGACCACCAGTCACGGGACAGAGGGTGGGGGAAGAAGAGCAGCTAAAAGATAAAAAGGGCACAGCAACAAAGATAGAAAAATAAAGACAGAGCTACAGAGTTAGAAAAAGAGTTCTAACGCTCTCAGAGCAAGTCATTCTGAGACCCTAAAGTTAAAACCCCACTGTATGGGAGGTCAGGGCAGGGCAGAGCCTATAGCAGCGGGGACTGACAGAAGCTGCCACACAGCCAGTGTGACGAGGGGAAAGCCTCAGCAGGGCCTCAGCCACTCTTAACAAAGCCTACAGAATCTACCCACACATGCATGGAAGACCTGAAACTGTCATAGAGGAAAACAAGTCCCTGTGACTTACGTTTCCGGGGATTGACTTCAAACAGCCCCTTGTATGCATCGGCCACAAACAGAGTGCCGTTGGGCCCCGCACGGATGCCCAGGGGCCTCCCACAGGCGGGCTCATCCTCTCGGGTCTCTAGGAATAAGCAGACAGGGGCTGGGGGGTAGAGAAGGCCACCACACCCGCCACAGGGTCCAGCACCTCACCCCTCCCTGGACAGACTTGGGGCTGTACACAGCACAGGACAAGGGCAGGGCGTTAGTGCCAGACCTGCAGGGTGCCAGGGTACTCAGGCGGGGGAGCTCACTGTGGGCTCACTGTGGGGCTCAGCAGAGCTGCTTAGGGTCCACATTCAGTGGAACAGGGCCAGCTAGGAACCAAACCAGACTGTAAGTCCGCCTGTGGAACTGCAGTGCGGATGCCTGAAAAACCGCTCCCTAGATGTCAGGAACAATTACACCTGAGAACGTCTACGGTGAACTGTATTTTGCTTTTCATTCATTTATGTCATCTTGTGCTGCATCCACTTCACAATGAAAATGTGTCAGTTGTGTAAAAATAACTTGCCATAAAAATGACACCCAGGGCCGCAGCTTCGCTCAGTGATACAGTCCTTGCCTGGCCTGCACAAGGCCTGGGCTCCCGTCCTTATACCACAAAGAAATACTCTAATATAAAATATAAATAAAAATAAAATAACTAGTAAGAAGAAGCCATGGGCTATCTGTTTATAAACAGTGAGGTTCTACTCTAGGTTTCCAAAATCTGACTCATGTGAGCGTGCGTGGGTTTTGAACATCACCGCTGAAGTCCTGGGACACGCCTGAAGGAAATCACACACAGGCACCTCAGGGTGATAACACCTCCTGCTTTCCTCCCAGCATGCCTACAACAGCCATTAGCCCATGAAGTGACCCCAAAAGGGACCACAGGTCTAGGGGACAAGTGAAGGGGCCGGGCCGGAGAAGTACCACACGGGCCCAGAGACCATGTGTCAAACGCAGAACTTGTGTGACACCTAACATGGTCCCCCAACAGATGCCCAGCATCTTTCTCCACAGGTAAAACTGGCTTCCAGGAGCAGCAGTTCCTTGGGCACACTTCAGAGTGACAATGATAACTTACTGCATGGGCCTGAGCCAAACCGGGCGATGGTCTCTACTTCGCCATTTTCAAGTTTCAGGACCCGGCCATCAGCTGTACCAGTGAAGAGCACATCTGTTTACAAAGCACAGAGGAGACGGTCATGCAGGGCTGAGCAAGGACTGCGACCACACCACCTGCTACAGCAGAGGAGGCAGCAGTTCTGGAGATGAAGGGAAGGGCTCCCTGAGAAGGTCCAAGATTCCTTAAGACTCATGACGACACTACCCTGGGGCCAGCCAGCCAGAGAGAGCCTGAGCCTGCGTGTGTCACGTGAGAGCAAGGGATGGCTCCCTCCCTCCCCACCTCCCCAGTCCTGGGCCCGGGGTTGGCACTCACAATTGGCGCAGCCACACCCACCTCACAGCAGGGTGGCCATGGACTCAGTCCACCCTGCTGACTGAAGAGGTGCTAGGAGCTTGGGGGTAAAATGAAAGCACAAAGCCCTGGCTCAAACTAGACGGAGACAGCACAGGCGAGCACCACCCTGATGACCGAATCCCTAATCAGCCCACAGCTTTCACATGCATTCAGCACTCTGGAGCAAGCGCTACAAAATGTAACAGGAAATTTATAAGTGATATGCTAGGAAGACAGAAAATGGTATCATTAAAAAAAGTTCAATTTAAAACTACAAAATGTCGGGGGAAGGGGAGGGCAAAAATAGAAACAAAAACAGAACACAATGCCAACTATGGTAGATATTAATCCAAAATATCAATAATTTCTTTAAACATCAATGGTCTAAGTAAACCAAATGAAAGAGTGGTGCAATGAGGGAGACCCGGTGTGGCCACGTTTACAAGACACAGACAGGCACACCGATGAGGAGCGCAGGATGCGGAGACCACCAGGCAGAGGCTCACTGCTTCAGTCAGGGCGGCTACAAAGCCAGGAAAGTGCTGGGAGGTGGAGGAACAGTGCATCAAGGTAAGGGACTGAGTGCTCCAAGGAGACACAGCAGTCATGAAGGTGACGCACCTCCTAACACAGCGCCAGAGTACATGAGGCAAACACCGATAAAAACTGCAAAGAGAGGGCTGGGAGATAGCTCAGCGATCTAAGCACCTGCCTGGCAAGTACAAGGTCTCAGGTTTGATCCCCATGCAGTGCCAGCCACCAAAACTGTGGTGGTGCACGCCTGTAATCCCAGCGCTGGGAAGGCTGAGACAGGAGGATCACCGAGTCCAAGCTGCGAAGTGAGACTGTACCAAATAAATAAATAATAACAATTTTTAAAAACTGCGAAGAGAAATGAAACCAACAGTGACGAGGAGACTGGAGTCTTCAACAACCTTCTTCCGGAAATTCACAGAACAGACAGTAAGACAAGGCTGAGCTCAACAGCGCCACCACCAGTCACTGGTGTGGATCACAGCCACGACAGCCTCGGGCCTTCCACGCCCAGAGGGTTACAGCTGAGCACTCACCCAGCCACAGTCATGCACGTTTTTTTAAAACTGTGCCTACTCTGAACACAACCAACTTTTGTCATCACTCCTCAAATACAACAGTACTTACACCATATTTACATGGTCTCAGGTGCTGCAGGTGATCAAGAGGTGACTTAGCGTACACAGGAGGACGTAAACAGCGCTGCAAACACCACGCACTCGAGCATCCCGGAGCCCACTCCTGGCAGAGACCCAGGCTGACTGTGCATATTTGTCCCAGACTCACACGTGACATTCGCCAACCCTGAGCACATTCTGCAACCTAAGAGACACCTAACAAATTTTAAGAAATAGAAATCAAGCCAGGCATGGTGGCTGGCACATGCCTATAATCCTAGGACACAGGAGGTTGAGGCAGGAGGACTGCCACAAATTTGAGGCCAGCCTGGGCTACATAGTGAGACCCTGTCTCAAAAAAATAAATGAATAAAAATAAAAAACAAATCATACAATGTCTGTTCTCAGACCACAATGGAATTGACCTAGAAATCAGTAACAGAAAGATAGCTAGGAAATCCCAAAATTCTTAATGATTAAATTATATACTTTTAAATGTCAAATTATATACTTTCAAAGAAGTATATAAATGTCAAAGAAGAAATCTCATGAGAAATTAAAAATATTTTGAGCTAAATGAAAATGAAAACAATTTATCTAAGTTTTGGAGGTATACCAAAAGCAGTACTTACAGGAAAACTCCGAGTACGGCATAGGCATATTAGAAAATCTAAAATATGTAAAATCAAACCAAGCATGATGGTGCACGCCTATAATCCCAGTACTGGGGAGGTTGAGCTAGCAGGATCTCTGAATTCGAGACCACCCTGGGGGCTATAAAAGTGAGCACAAGGCCAGCCCGAACTGTATAGTGAGACCCTGCCTCAACAAAAATAAATAAATAAATAAATACATACATACATACATACATACATACTTAAAATCAGTAATCTAAGTTTCCAATTTAGGTAACTAGGGAAAAAAAGATCAAATTAAATCCAAAACAAACAGATGGCAGATATCAATGAAATTGAAAACAAGACATCAATTTTTATAAAACCAAAAGCTGGTTCTTTGAAAAGATCAACATAACACAAATATCTAGGAAGGCTAAGAAATAAAGAGAAGAAGCTGGGAAGATGGCTCAGTGGAATAAGCGCTTCTCTGGCAAGCGCAAGGCCTGAGTTCAATCCCCGGTTCCACCACAAAAAAAAAAAAAAAAAGAAGAAATCACTAACATCAGAAATGAAAATGTAGCTATCACTAAACAGCCCATCGATAGTAAAAGGATAATAAAGGAATACTATGAACAATGCTATTGTTGCAGGCAGCCTAGTTAGATAAAAGTATTACAGGCAGTCAGACAGGGTCAGGCCCTCGAAGGACATAAACCAGAAGACAAGACACCTCACAACTGTGGGAGGGACAGATGCTCCTGCTGTGAGCCAGACCTAAAGACCAAAGATCAAGCAAATCCTGACTGCCTAAAGATTCGCATCCAGGATTAATCATCACCCTGAGGGAGCCAGAAGAATCATTAAGCAACTACTACCGGATGGCTACCAGATAAGTTCCTGTTCTACTTTCATGCCCGCTTGCTACGTGACTCCCTTCCCCATTTGGTCCTGGACTTGATCAATTTTATCTGAGCAATGGTGCTTGTAATCCCTTTGGTTGACCATAGTTTTGTCCTACCCCACGTCCACCTAAGCGAGTTCCCATTTTCTCCACCTTAGCCCCGCATGGTCTTGCCCTATAAAAATAACCTGGAAGAGACAGCTTCCGGGGGCAACCCGCTCGGGCCCCCCTTCTGTCCATCTCAGACAGAAGCTTTCTTTCCCAGTAAATATTCTACTCTCAGCCTCTGTTTGTTCTTAACATTCATTCTTTGGTTTTGGAGAACACGAACTCATCCAGGTCAGGTCGGGAGTTTCGCTTCCCCTATATCACTATTATCTAAATGAACCAATTCCTTGAATGCCAAAACTACATAAGGAGAAACAGCCAATGTAAATTACCATGTATCTTTTTTTTTTTTTTTTTTTTTTTTTTTTGGCATACGAGATGTTGCGGCGTGACTGGAGTTCAGACGTGTGCTCTTCCAATTTAACAAAAAAGCTCTATTGAGATTCTAATCTCAGCATCAAGACTTTGCATTACTTTTTTTTTTTTTTTTTTTTTTTTGGTCTTTTTTAGACAGGGTCTTGCTATGCAGTTCAGGCTGGCCTTGAGCTCACTTTGGAGCCCAGGCTGGTCTCAAACACACAACAATCCTCCTGCCTCAGCCTCCCAAGTGTTGGGATTACAGGTGTGTGCCACCATGCCTGGCTGCCCTGTAATCTATTTAAAAAAACAGAATAATTAACAATTCAAAAAGAATGTATCAAGTTCAGATGGGTTTACACACCAATTCTACCAAACACTTGAGAATTTTAACCAGTTCTCTAAAATTTCTTTCAGAAGACAGAAGCAGCTGTAATGTTTCCTAAGTTATTCTACGAGGCCAGCATCATCCCGGTATCAAAAAAGACATAAAGACAGAAGACAATTGCAGACCAATACTTCTCATGAAGACAGATGCAAAAGCCCTCAACAAGTATCAGCAAACCAAAGCCAACAGCACAGAGGAAGAAGCACACACCACAACCAAGTGGGCTTTATGCCCAGGACTCAAGGCCAGTTCAAACTTCAAAAGTCAATTAATGTACTCTGTCACTTCAAAGGCTAAAAGAAAAATCTCTGGGCTGCATCAACAGATTCAGAAAAGGCATGTGACAAAATCCGACTCCATCGTGAGGGAAAGGAGAAACCTCCCAAGCTAGGAAGGGCAGGAGCTTCCTGAGCTTTACCAGGCCATCCACAGCCCACAGTATGGACTCCAGCCTCTCCTGCTGAGACTGGGAACAGGAAAGCCCACTCCTCGTTACTCACTTTAGCACCATGTTGGAGGTCTCAGGTGATTCAGTAACAAAGACAATAGAAGGGATACCAAATGGAACGCAGAAATAAAACTGTCCTTTGTTTATAGATGTCCTACAGTTTAGGTAGAAAACCCAAAGGAATCAAGGAAAACAACTAGAAGTAACAGTTGTAACAAGGTCACGGTACATACCTGGTTAATACACAAAAATCCACCACATTACTGTAAACTAGTGATGAACAAGCGGAATTTGAAAGTAAAAACATGGCTTATGTTAGCACCCAAAATGATGATATACTTAGATAAAAATAAAATATACAAGTTCTTCATGAAGAAAGCTATGATGACAGAAACCAAAGAACTAACTAAATGGGTAAGACAATTCAATACTACTCAGACGTCAGCTCTTTTCAAATTGATCTAGATGTAATACACTCTCAACCAAAATCTCAGCGAAATACTCTGTTGAGTAACTTTGTTGGCTATGGACAACTGTTGAATAGTAACAAACATTGGTTGAGTATCAACAAACTGACCCTCAAGTTTACACAGAGAGGCAAAACCCCAAAAGAGTCCAAGTAATACTAACAGAGTAGAATAAGTTCCCCAGATTGATGGTACCCAGCTTCGAGGCTCACCATGAAGCTGTACCAGTCATCAACACAGGCTGCCACCACCAGAAGGACAGGTAGCCAGGCCAGCAC